TCTGGTAAAAATCAGTGGAAGTGTTTTTTGAATTGATTGAATGTTGTTTCAAGGTTTTTCTTTGTGTTTTAGTTCAGTTTTCCCTTTTTATTTTACTTCTACACATCTACACATTTTCACCTTTTAACAATTTATTTCCTTAATTTTACCAAGATTTTTCTGTTTTTCTTCTTCTGTTAAATACAAAATTATTTCTGCTGTTTTGACTATTAATGACTATTAAATTTAAAGAGTTACTTATTTCTTAATTAATAAAATAACAATTTAATTGCAATTTGTAAAACACAATTTACATTTAACTTTGATTTAGTTACATTTAAAGCATTTATTAATATTTTAAAAAATGTTAAAAATCAATTTTTAATAATTTGATGAATAAATGATAAAATTTGTTAAATTTTTATTTATTCAGCCTATTTGTGAAAATAAACTTCCTGTATGGAATAAATTACAACTGCCTAATTAATGATGATTGTCTACCTTAGCCAATCATCATTAAGCCAACCAGCGACTTTAGGTGGGCAAACCCAGCACATAGCGATAGCACACACACACACGAGATGGCGAGTTCAGAGACAAAGGGGAAGACGGCGTTTTTGAGGTGGAAATACAGGTATTACTTTGACCTCGTCGAGGTGAAAATGTACAAAATGTTCAGTGTACATTATGTCCCAGAACAGGCAGGATGGAACAGCTGGAGAAAAGTGTCAGGAGTGATCTGTGACAGAAGAGTGTCAGCTGAGGTGAAGGAATACGTTTACAGGACGGTGGTGAGACCAGCCATGATGTATGGTTTAGAGACGGTAGCAATAGGCAGAAGACAGGAGTCAGAGTAGAAGATGCAGAGAACAGGGAGAGCTGGAAATCAATGGTTCACTGTGACAACCCCTGAAAAAAAGGGACAAAGAAGAAAGAAGAAGAAGAAGAAGAAGAAGAGTGTTGAATTCACCTAACACTAGTGTGTAGTGTCACAAATGAAGACTCTCAGGACACTGTTTCAACACTGAATACGGTTCAAATTATATTGACACTATGGAAAGTGTTAATTATAACTATAAAAACATTTTATAGTTAATTTAATTAAAAAAAACTACTCCTAAAAACAGTACTATTTCCAAAAACATTTTTATTTCAAACAAACACCTCTTTGACATTTTTTTAAAAAGTAACTATAAATAGTTACTTTCCCTGCTAACTACTTACTTTTATAGTGGAGTAACTCAATTACTAACTCAGTTACGTTTAGGGAGGAGTAACTATAACTAATTACTTTTTCAAAGTAACTTTCCCAACACTGTACATTAGTAATAGTTTAATTTTGTTTTAATGTTTTAACCATTTTTGTTTTTTGATCAAAAAAAATAGGTGTTCTTCCTGAGGTCCACACCCTTGACACAGATGTGTCAATCACTGGATCGATGACCTCAATCCAATGATTGAGTGTGAGCCTCAAACTTGTTTTTCTCTGTGACCTACTTTCTTTCTCACACTAACCAGCGTTCACAGATGTTTGTCAGAGTCTGTTCCAAAAATCAGAAACAGAAGCCAGAGTTCATTAGAGAGATTGGTGGTTCTCAGCCTCGGGTCTGCAGTCCAATCCAGCATCAGGTGTTCCCAGGTCAGCTTTAAAGGATAATGTCATCTTCAAATGAGTGAAGGACTCTGGATGTTTTGGGGGATTTTTTTTTAATATTGAAATGAAGTTTTAAAGTGCTGCTGTCGCTGCTGCTGCTGTCACCGCTGCTGCTGCTGTCACCGCTGCTGCTGCTGTTTCTGTTGTCACTGCTGCTGCGGCCGTCACTGCTGCTGGTGCTGTCACTGCTGCGGCTGCTGTCACTGCTGCGGCTGCTGCTGCTGCTGGTGCCACTGCTGCTGGCGCTGCTGCTGCTGCCACTGCTGCTGCTGCGGCTGCTGTCACTGCTGCGGCTGCTGCTGCTGCTACTCCTGCTGCTGCTGCTGTTTCTGTTGTCACTGCTACTCATGGTGCTGCTGCTGCTACTCCTGCTGCTGCTGCTGCTGCTGCTCCAATTACCATGCAGCAGATGTTTAGCTTTCACAGCGTTGGATGAATGTCAAAGTCAGTTTTATTATTTTGAAGAGTGCAGTAAAAATATTTCTGGTAGATGTGTGTTTATTCAAAAAATGTATTCAGAGTGAAAGATGAAAATGTAGACGCCTGCTATCGTGTTGAATAAGTGGCTCAGATGAGATGAGGAACTCCATCAGTAAATACAGATGTCATCTTCATCACCATCACTCCTGTAATCTGTATCGTCTATATCATTGTTTCCCAAAGAGTGGGTTGCGACCCTCAGGTGGGTCGCAAGAGCTTCTTTTGGGGTGGGGGTGGGGTGGGGGGTCGTCTCACATCATGTTTCCCAGGAATTGTTTTTCCCAGGTGTCAAACTCAGGCTCACAATCTGGCCAACAATGTAATGATATTTGGCCTGTGAGATCATATCAAATGTGGACCAGCGTTGGCCTGACAGTATATAGCTCCTGTATTGGATGCACACATACCATATGTTATAGCACATACACTTTGGTTTTTTGTTATTGTTGGCCTGTGAAACTTTTTTTTACATTAAATAGGAACTCAATAGGCTACAGATAAAGAGACATAATTTCTCATGTGTTTATAATATTAAACTTTGTTCTTGTTTCAGATTTAATGTTTATGCAAAACTAAAGTTTGTTCCCATGTGAAAAAACATATCTGGAGAGAAGGGAAAACATTTACACAATTACTGTCAATGTTTAATAAATATCCACCCCTGGTCTACATCATCTTCACTGGAATCACCAAGCACTCGACCAACACCATCCTCCACACATCATCCTCATCCTCATCCTCATCATCATCATCATCATCATGGTCTCTGTTGTCATCCTCTTTGAGGATATTATGCTGTTGCTGTCACTGCTGCTGCCGGTAATGAATGCTGTTGCTGTCACTGTTACCTTGATGTTGTTTCCTGTGCGGTAATCTACCCGAGTCTGAGACAATTGTTTGTGAAAAGCAGACGATCAGGTTTGGTCTGCGGTGTGTGACAGTAGTTAGCACTGATTGCGTTAGAAGACACAGGTGAATCATTTCCTTCAGATCATGGTTCATGCCAAAAGCGATAGAGGTGAAAAAAAATCTGGAAACACCTGTATGTGCAGCTCCATCATTTTTGGACCATTGCCTCATTCACTTGTCACACTTCTCGATGCTGTGGAGGAAGAAAATGGCGTGTGGGAGAGTTATTAGTTCCAGCCGTGCCTCACAGAAAGTCTGACAGTTTACCAAAGAGTCCCACCTCGGGGCTGACTTTATCCCATGCCTCTTCTTTTTTTGTTCCGCTCCCTATAAAACATAGCAACGGTGTTGTTGCCCACGCATTGATGATAACTTTGTCCTCCATTGATCACAATCTACTCTGCTAAATAAACTCGCCGTTGTTTGGATGTCACTTCATCTGCGTTCTTCGTGCAGAGCACCAATCACGCCTCATGATATTAAGTTACTGACACAGTTACAATGATTGTGTATGTAGTCAATCCGCGCCTATCGCTTTTGGTGTGAACCCATTAGGCTCCGGCTTTAACTGACCTTTGAGTTATCAATACTTCATATCTAAATCTTAGAATATCTGTAGACTCTGTCCTTTAAAAAAAAGAAAAACTATTTTGTGTTTAGTTGTTAGCATGTTACCATTTGCGAGGCTTAACAAGCCTTTAACTTTTTTTTTTTTTAAATCTCAAAAATCAGTGTTTTCTGCTGAGCAGGAAGTCAGAATAATTCAACAGGACTGAGGACAGAGAGGACGACAGCAGCACAGATTCAGATTTTCCCAGGAAATAGATCAAATCAATAATTTATGCTTTCACAGCAGCAGCAGCAGCAGCACAGGAGGACTCTCCTGTCCTGTCCAGGAACTGTGATCTGATGGTCAGTCATCGTCTGATATTTTTTATTTTTTTGCCCCTGGTTGAACATCAGAGATGAAGTCAGGCTAGTGTTGGAGAAATGATCTGTGAAGTCGAATGACTTTATGCTGGGGAAGAGAGGGACGTTCAAATGTCACTGACCACGGTAACGCTGTCAGCTGTGTGTGTGTGTGTGTGTCTTGATTTAAGTGGTTGGTCGTTTGTGTGTGTGTTCATTTTTGAGTTTGTGTGAATGTGTGTGTGTGTATTGGTTATTGTGTTAAACGGTGTGTGTGTGTATGGAGTGTTTCAGACCTGAAAAAGGATGATACGCTGTTCTGCGCCAATTCACACTCCATCCGCTAGGGGGAACAGTTGAGCAGGTTTTGCTTGAGACCTGCTGTCACCTGGACCCAGACTGAAACAGAGATAACTGCAGCTGACAAAACAAACTCCTGAATCTGTTGTTTTTTCCTGTGTTTAACGGCCATGGTTGTTTCTGCTGCTGAAACTTTTCATCAAACACGACTCGTGGTCCAGGAGTGTTTGAACAGAACGAACACCAGTTAGTAAACATGGATCCAACACACGTTTCAGTCGACAGAGTGACGCTTAAATTTGGCAGAAATACCACCTTGGGATGATTGGTGTAGGGGGCGCTGGCGGGCTGCTTCAGTGCAGAGCAGATTGACTTTTTCACACATGTCTGGAGTGAAGAGGAGGAGGAGGAGGCACTCTGGTCCATCCAATCATACAGTAGCTCTTCATCACCATACACTGGACATTAAAAAATATACAAATATATTTCAGCACTTTAACTTAGGTTAAAAAAAAACATGGGATGTAAAGCCTGCGAAACCAGTCACATCACAGTGTAGAACGTAAACGTCTCTAAACCCGTTTCACCAAACTGCAAGTCCAGTACTGCCTCTTGTGGTAAGGTGGTGTCACTTCAGTCAATGACTTATCAGTTAAGACAAACAAATGTCTCACTTTTAAACTGTTAACTGTGATGTTTTTTTTTTTACAGTGTTAGCTCTGTGTTATTAATATAATAATTCTATAATAATAATAATTCTGTTTTCTAGGTAACACCATACTTTTGCATCATGTGGCTTTGGAAAAATCTGGAACCTGGGATTTCGAGACCAATGACCATCGGGATGTGCCTTCAGGTCATACAGGTCAGTTTTCAGCAGAAATCAGAGAGCGGTGGGTTTGTGTCCCAACAAAGGGTGTGAAAAGATCTGGTGCTGAATGTCAGCAAACACACACACACACACACACCTGCTCTAGTTCCCATGCTCTCTCCGTGGCCTCAGAAACCTAATATTCCTCCTTTTCCAGGCAGATTTCCACTGCCTCCTGGAATGTTAAGCTCCACTTGTGGCTCAGCTTTTGTTCCACTGCCGTGAAACAAAAGGTAAAGTGGCTTTTCAACTACCACCACACACACACACACACACACACACACACACACACAACCACGTCACAATCCCCTGAAATCCCTGTCAACAGTTGTTTCTCTTTTCTTTTCTCCACACTCACAGTAAACAGTAAATTATTCACGTGAGAATAATCCATGAAACTGTATTACTATAAATACAGACAATTCAACTCCACATTAAAAAAAAAACCAAGATCATCCAGGCAGTAATAGTTTACACTTTGTTTGAGTTAAAAGTATTAAACAATCTCATTTTAAATTGCATTTTGTTCAACAAAATCTTAAAATTGTCTTTTACAAAGAATACAGTTTCATGCAGAAAGTGGTAAATATATACATGTATTTTAAAAAAAATAGCTTCAACAAAGACATGTCCTTATACTCCCGGCAGCCATCTTTGTGGTGTGAGTTCAGGTGAGAATGTGTGTCAAGTCAGTCTCTGTAAAAACAAAGAATGTAGGCCACCGTGCACGTTTGGAACACATTTGCGAAGTGGGTCAAAACGACGGGTGTGGGTGTGGGCTTTCCTTCTTTAATGAACGTGATGAGCAGCTGTCAGATTGTTACCATTCATCGGCCCTTTGCCATAAAGCTTTGTGAGTTTTAATCCTGACGTTACCATCAGTCATTATCGTCATTATCATCGTCATTATTGTGTTTTTGTTTACTGAGGTAACTTCGACTCTCAGCCTTTTATGTAAGAAATGATGCTAATATTCTTATGTAATTGTCATTGAATGAATTTTTAACACAATGACTTTGTTGCATTTTTCAGTTTTGTCTTAAAACAAAGAAGGAAACGTAACCAGCTCGTGTCTGGGGGTTCCACTGTACACTAGAGTTATCTTTTCTATTACAAAAATGTTCTTCTCTAAATGTAGTATAAAATACTACATACAGATCATATTTCATTTTTAATTAAAATTAATCAAAGTGTAATATTATTTTAATATGGATAAAAGGAGGAGAATGTATTATAAAATGATTTAGTTACCTTAAGATAAAAAGCAGATTTAATGAATAACATAAAGTAAATGTTGGAATATTAAATCTTTTTTGAATGGGATTACAGCACGAATACAACTATGGCCTCATGTGATGTAATCTTCAATTGTCAAAGAAACAAACAAAAAATAAAAACAATAAAATATTATGAAACAACACATAACTATTATGTGACAAAAAGATCGACATTACTTAACAGCACCACAACTGTCAGTCTGTGTTTAGAGGAGGAACTGTTTCAGCCTGTCATTAAAATCATCTCTGCTGATTATTACATAAAAACAGATGTGTGTCACAATACCAGAAACATCCAGGTTTATCAACACTGTTCCTTTTCCTCCTGGCTGGTTTTAATTCTAGGAATTACTTTGGCCACATTCCATTTCGCTCTGCACCTCATTACAGAGACAGTAGTGAGTCTACAGAGTCTGTAATCATCCTCCACTGTCACCTGAAAACACAGTCATTGTCAGCTGTTGTTTCCTGCACACACCCTGAACCAAACCTGACGAGTGCTCCAGCGGCAGTTCTGTCTGAGCTGTAGTCACACGCAGGTCATCAAACCTTTTGTCTGTGATTTAACTTTGATATAAATTAACCTTTTGTCTGTGATTTAACTTTGACTAACATTCAACACACATATATAAATATATATGTGTGTGTGTGTGTATATGTATGTATGTATAGTATACATCCATCATTGAGTAGACACAACTGGAAGCAGTGCTTTTATATGTTATATTATATAGATTATATATATATATATTATCGTCAGTGCAGGAGGGGGTCTGAGTTTTAATGTGGAGGCGATGAAGCTGTTAACACTGATGATGGACAGAAGTCAGAGTCAGAGTTTTTTTTTTTTTTTTTTTTTTCTGAACCGTTTCACGGTCACGTCTGCAATCCTGAGCCTAGAGGCTCAGTCTAGGAGACGATGTAAAATAAATCAAATTAAACTTTGGGCTGGTAATTCAATTTCATTTATATGTTAAAGACGTAGTATTTGGTTGGTTGGTTTCAGTAGTGGATTGATAGTGTTCAATTGATTTGATTGGCTCGAATGCTCTTTGTAGGTTTCATGTTGTGCTAATTATTTGACTCCTTTATTTGTGAAATGTTGTGTATTTTAGAGGATTTCCAGCTTAATCTGAGGCTAGGCTGCAGCCGCGCTTCATTTTTTCTCCAGCAGAGGGCCACATCGTATACTATGGTCCAAACATTTATCTGTGATTCAGGTGAACACTGATCAATGTTAAGGGTGTGTTAAGGCACCCCCCCACGTCACTAATGTGTTCTGGTATTTCCCAGGTCAAAGGTCATTGTGGTTAATACAGTCCCATCCTCATTGTCTGAAGTTGTGAGTTAAAGGTCAAAGTTCAGGTCTAGAGACAAATGACACCTAGAAGACACTGAGTAACTCCCTTATACACACTGCCTCCGAGCTGTTTATAAAATCCTCTCTGTATTCTCATAAATACAGATAAAAACTATTTGGTCTGAAGTTGAAACATTTGTGGTTTGTGTATTTCATTACTTTGGTGTCAGAGAGTTTTACTTTGGTGGCCATCGGGTGGCCTGAGGTGAGGTTCATTGTTTTTGTTTTTGTTTTCAGGGTGGAACATTGAGGTCTTTAAAATCAAACAACTGTATCCCTGCAAAACCAACAATTCTCCTTCTTCTTTCCTGAAACTTTGACAACAAAACAACAATAATCACCACACATCACCCACATTCTCCTGCCTTTCTTTTGCCTCGTATCTGCTGAAGTGCTCTGGTGCCCTCTAGGGAAAGTTTGCATCATAGAGATGGGGGGGGGGGGGGGGGGCACATCAGCAGTACAGTTCCCCTTAATGGACCGGCTGTAAATGGAAGACTGTAGAGTCTCCCCGTGGGCCAGAGAAAATGACTTGGTGGGCCGAATTTGGACCCCGGGCCTTGAGTTTGACACATGTGCTATAGTCCAACTACAGATTCTGTAGTTATGTCGATAAGTTGAACAGTCAGTATTTGATTGGTTGAATGCTTTTTATTGGTTGATTTCGGTTAGTTAATACCAGCAATTAAAATGGATGGTTCGTGGATCGACTGATGATTTGATTGGTTCAGACACATATTAATAAAACCATGGAGTGAATCACAGTGAAGCAACAGAAGCTGTTGAGCTGCGATGACTGTGGACCGTGGTTTTGTTTGATGGTTGAACATCTGCTCAGTTCTGTTGACGATGTTCGTCTCACTGCAGCAGTGTGTTGGATTAAGTGGATCTAGACGTTCTCTGCTGCTCTCTCTCTCTCTCTCTCTCTCTCTCTCTCTCTGCCCCCCTCCCCTCCTCCCCGTCTGGTTCTCTTTATCTGGGCCGTTCCTCTTCATCCGTTCTTCCCTCTTCTTCTCATTAAAGGATGTGTCGACGGTTTGATGGCATTTATTCTGCTGCTGCTCTCCATGCCTGTCTCATTTTTCCCATCATCCCTCTCTCTCCCTCTCCCTGTTAATTACCCTGACGGTCTTATCAGTGGACAACTTTCAAACTGGACATTCTCTGTCATAAATCATGTTTCTCTTCTTCTTCCTCTTCCTTCACATCAGCTTGTCATTAAACCCAGCTTCTAACTCTCGTTAACCCTCTCACCGACGCTGCACTTTAAATTAGCATCATTGGCTGGAAGACAAGAAGACAGACAGAAAGACAGAAAGACACTCAAAATCCTTATCCTTCTACTCAAAAGTATGGAGTGCCGTCGTCTCTTTGGCGTTCTGTTGGATGAGTGCTTTACTGGATGCGTTGAATCTGACTATTTGTTGTTATTAAAAGAATGTGTAGACAAATATAAATATATATTTGTCATTCTAAATCTTTTTGTTTTGTATTGAGGGTTTTTTGTTCTTAGTTTTCTGTGTGTGACTTTTTAAGGCAAACCCTGTCTGAACAGTCCAGTGGAGAGACACTCTGCTGATCTAACATCAGTGTGTGATGTCATCCACTCCACACTAGGTCGCGTTAACTGTCTTCACAGGTGACGTCAGGGTCAGGGTCAGGGTCAACATGGCTAGAACATTCAATCTGGGCTCACCACAGCAGTAGTCCACGGTGGGATGAGGCCCCTGCTGACAGGACACAGAAAAAAACTCCAGGTGAGCTGTTTTACATGGTCCTGGTTTGACTTGGTCAAGACCTGGTCCAAGTTTAGACCTGCTGTGACCTACTTCCCCAGAGCTGCTCTGTGATGATTGATTATTTTGTTTTACTCTTCATAAAAATATTAGAATCTTCATTAACTTGAATGATTTTCTTTAATAATACCTCTGTTATTGGAATCTGACCTACTTAAAAGCCAGCGTTAGCATGTTCCAAAGCTCTGGAGACAGGTGTGCTGTTGAAATAACACAGGCCACAGGGGGGCAGCAGACGTGGTCCAGTTTGACTCAGGGCTGTGGATGCTGCTGCTGGGCCCAGACTGTAATTGTTTCTTTTTTTTGTTTAGCTAATTTTGAACCCTTAATAAGTGACGGTCCATGTTCCTGTCGTGGATGTAGTGATTTCACCGTATGAGTTTTTAGAGAAGCATCATTTCAGTGACTGATGTCAAAATCAGACTGTGATGAATAATTCACACATGCTTCAGGCAGACGAGCGTCTCTCAGACATTCGGCCCCTTTATTTTCTTTCTCATCACACACACACACACACACACATGCACATATACACACTCTGGTTAAACAAGGTGAAAAAACAGTGAAGGAAATTCAGAGAAAAAGATAAATATCTTCACAGGGGGGGGGTCAAGGCACGAACTGCATACAATTGAAAACTGTATTTCCTTCTTTTCATCAAAATAGTCGTTCCATGAGAATAACAGCGTTTCAGCTGAAGTTCTGTTACAACAGACGGCAGTCCTGTTTAAAAAAGAGGGAAAAATGTTTGGGAACCACCGTGACAGAGTGTTACATGTTTTTTACTAAAGTAAAATTGACAGAAGTAGCTACATTTTGATATGAATTCTCTTTAAATTAGATCAGAAAATGAAAACACGGCTCAATTTAGGTGTTAGTTTGGTCTAAATACAGTCCGTCCTTCGTCTTAGATCAACGTCCTTCCCTCGAGGCTCTTTTACTGTATTTCTTGGCTTATTTCCACCTAGATCGAGGCTAAATTTTATCTGCCTTTATTGGATCTTGATTTTTGAGAGTTTATGGCAGAACTGGAGCTCGTCGCACAAAACAAAAGAATCAGAGAAGCCACGGCTACTCTGTTCCACGTTCGTCTTCCCGTCACACGTCTGCTCCACCGTCCCCACTGACCTGAATTACAAAAACCACCATTAAAAGTATTTCGTGGATTTCCGCATAAACTGGTGTTAATGATTTTCCCGTGGTTACTGAGAGGAAAATGATTAAAACCTTGTTTGGAGGAAGTGGTGTCATGAATTTTAAACTGGTGTTGAGTGCAGCCTAATCACCCTGTCCCACACCAGCAGGAGAAAACTGATTATTTCTGTTCTTCGGGGGTGAAAATGTTCCACGTCCACCACGACAACGTAAGGAAATAATTACAAAAACTATCTTTGCCTATCCTCGCTCAAGTGCTTCCTCTGTGTTAGCCTTGTTCAATCAGTGTGTGCATGCATGTGTGTGTGTGTGTGTGTGTGTGTGTGTGTGTGTGATGAATAGAAAGAAAATAAAGGGCAGAGTGTCAAAAAGATGCAGTCCTAGCTCGTCTGCCTGAAGCATCTCTGAATTATTCATCACAGTCTGATTTTTTTTTTTAACATCTTGTTCTCTGTTAAATGATGCCTCACAATTTATACACAAAGTGGTGAAATCCCGGAAACGTAAACGACTGCAGACAAACTACTTGGATAGTTCAGGGGGAGCCGATGGACGGTCCTTATATACTGTATGTACTTCATATGTCTCTTCAGAGGACAGTGGTCGTAGCTCGTCGTTGATCCGCCTGCTGCCTGCATCATTCATTCATTGATGTATTATTTTAGAATGAAATGAAATTCATTATTGTCTGGGTGTGTGTGTATTGGCAAGAATCTGGCGACACGATACGTATCACAGTACACGGGCAAGATACGATATAAATATATCACGATATACCCCAGTACTGGAGGCCCGGTGATGTAATGAGTATTTTTTTAGACAATTTAATTGTAGGAAAACTGTCAACATAGTAAACACACAGAGCTGTTCCAGGCGGAACATCAGGTTACTGTTAACTGTTAATAGAAATCAATACAGTGCTGCAGAATATTGATGCAGTAGTTTGAAACTAAATATTGTGATATTTCAGTGTATGGATGTTTTCTTACACCCCTATTATTTCCTAAGTTCCAGAGATGATGTGTCCCGTAACTCTCTTTCCTCTGTGGACCTGCAGTGCAGCACCGGTGCTGACATTTCAATACTATTTTGGCCAAGTTTACTGATGTTTATTTAGGTTTTTTTTCTATGTCATTATTGACGTGTGATTCTTCAGATTTCTGCCTTTAACATTTTGAACCACTGTGTCTGGTCTGATGTTTTCACCGTTTACTGTAGCTGTGGTGTTTCTGGCTTCATTTTCAACTTTGTAGCTGTGGTGTT